ATAATGGCTGCCTTAAAATTTTTAAGAGTTTTATCCCTACAAAATAATGAAATTGGAAATATATTAGTTTCTAAATATGAAATACTTAAACCATTGTCAGCATACATTAGTTCTGGAGTGGATGGGACTTATGGATTGCATATTCAGATTGAAGCATTTAGTATTTTATCAAATCTACTACACTATGAAATAGGTGTTGAAAATGCTCTATCGCTTTCTCCTATTATAGTGACAACATTATACAAGCATGTTCAAGGTACTAATATCTCTTATAGTTCTTCTGTTATATCTGCAACTCATGCGGCTGTGGTGTTACAGTTTGTGAATAGACTTCTTCAGTGTAATTGTAACATTGAAAGTCAAAAGTATAAAGTTTATCCATTATTAAAAGAAGGAGTTCAGAAATGGCTGACTCAAACTGCAAATATTGAAAGGATAACTTGTGGCCATTTACGTTTAATATGTGCATTACTTGATTGTTGTGCAACAATTTCAATTAAAGAACGACAGACCTTAAGGTTTCTTAATGTTTTGCTTGAGAACCTGGTGCAGTCTCAGGGATTTAAAGAAATTCTTAAAAACCTAGTGCCAAGTTCAAATTTATTGTCTGGAATTGAGAGTAAAGACTTTCTTGTTACTAAGAACCTTGTTAATCTTGGTAGTATAGTGGTTGACTCAACACAAAAGGAATTACCTATATTAAATGTGACATCCCCGATACCATTCCTTGCTTCACTGTTTAAAGTGTTAACAATAATTAATGAAGCTCATATATCAAACAGTTATATTGAGCATGTTCTAACATATTTGCAAAAACTGGCAAATAAGATGCCTAGTCTATCTGAAAATTGGTTTACAAGGATGGAGACAGATTTTGTTTTCAACATTGTAAAAATTGCAATACAGTGTGATGTAGCCGAATCTAAAAGGGACTTACTATACACCATTGCTCATAAACTTTGCTACATACTTCGTGCTGATAAAAAATATGAAATAGAATTTCTTTTTCAACAGATAATATTCAATAAACAATGGTTCACAACTGAAAGACTTTTTAACCTAGTGTCTTTATCAGATAAGGATGGATTCTCAAAAGTACTGTCAAATACGGAAGACATAAGAATGTGTTACACTAAAATTATAAAACTCAATTACACTAACTTTGAACCAAATATGGTACTAAGGATATGGAAAGTGCCTATATTACCCAGGGATTGGATATATTTACCAATTTTGGGGATGTATAGTAATTGTCAAGAAGTGAAGACAAGTCCAAAGCTTGTAGGTGGCCATCCTGATAAGGTTTCTTCACAAATGGCAAAAGAAAAAGAACTTATTGTTGGTTGTACCTTAGAATGGATACTGTTCAATGAAATTTGCTTCCCAGATCTTATCAATGAAATCGATATTACGGACAGATTTTGTCGTATCATGTGTGTTTTTCTTTGCGATAACTCTCTTTTCCTAGAGCCTTTTATAAAAGTACTTCTACACAAATGCACAGAAATACTGTTTAAAAGAGGTAATCAATTTAATTTTGATAAAGAACTAACAGGATTAAATAACTTTCAAGACTTTTACATGCAGTTCCTGGAACAATTTCAAGCTGTGAGCTATTGCGATCCATGTTTCGCGGCGTGTGTTTTGGTGCCGTTGGCTCAAAGGCACAATGTAAAGTGGCGCAAAATATTGTGGTCAGAATACGCCGGGTGCTTAAGAGCATTAGATTGCCCCGATAGCTACTTATGTTATGAATTAAAAGACTACTTATATCCTGAAGAATGTGACGAATCCCTTATGAAATGTTATTTTAGAGCACTCAATAGCAATTTGCTTCGGCCTGGCACAATCGTTCATAAAATTGCTGAACATCATGTAAATAATTTTAGAATGAAGAAGTACCACTAACTCATAATAAATATTATATTTCTCTTTTGAGTTGTAAATCATATTGTTTGGTGTTAAGTAACACCTAGTCGAAATGTGTATTTGTGCGCTCTCGCATACTCTATCAACTCCCAACCAGACGCTAGGGGCGGTTGGAATAGTGAGGCCGGCAATGTTTTTATAGTTCTCACAAATGTCAATATAATGAAAACGCGCCAGTTGTAATATTAATAATAAATTTCTGCCACAAAGTATTTTTATTTATTTTTTTGTAGTTGATTAAGTAAAGCGACAATATAGCTCATAAGATTAGGAAGCTGAAGTGGCGATGGGCCGGCCATATAACTCGTAGAAACGATAGCCAATGGGGAAGAAAGGTTCTTGAGTGGCAGCCTCATACTAGCCATCGCAGTTTTGGACGACCCACCACTAGATAGAGTGGTGACGACCTGTGCAAATGTCAAGGAAGTCGATAGATTCAGATAGCTCAGGATTGTGCTTCGTGGCAGTCTGTAGGGGGTGCCTACCTACGTTCAACAGTGGACTCAAACAAGCTGAAATAATGATTATGAAGTGACGGAATTTTTTTAATTTTTGTAGAAAAAAGGAACGAAAAGATTCTCGCCGCTGTGGGAATCGAACCCACGTCTTCGGGATTCGCGCCCCGACTCTCTAGCTGACTGCCACACCGACGAAGTTCTCAACGTCTGTTATCTGCATTATTTTTTAGCATTTGACGGAAATTATTAATTATACTAATCTGTGGCGGCTAAATATTTTAAATTAATATCTATTTGTATATAATATTTATCCATTAAATCTTATTTTATATATGTTTCTCATATCTATATTAAGTATATATATTATTTTCACATATTTTATTATTAATCACATGTAGCGTATTCATTTATTAATGTTATTATGTTTACGATCGTTATCAACGGTCAGCTGTGCCGCGACGCGACGCAGCTCACCTAATGTTTTTTATGTACGATTTACCGATCGGGCGCCCGGCAACAGCGATTCCGTCCGAGCCCGTGCTACGTCATAAGACACTCGCGAGGCGCGGTACATTAACTTCTATCGCCAGTCGCTTGTTGCTTTCCGCTGCGCTTACGCTTTATCTAATGTTATTCAGTTCTTACGTGCTTATATAGTATCGCTACATTTGCTTATTTTCGCTATCCTCCTTTGTTATCGTTTTGTGCTATCTTTTACTACTTCTGACTTTCTTTTGTGGTCGTATATGTGTGTAGACAATAAATGTTGTGAACAGTGTATTGACTTTATATCTTCACCCGACACACACGAACTCACACCACCTACCAAAAATCTATCAAAGCATTAATATTAAAATAAAATCATATTTTTTGTGACGAGTAGTTCGCTGTTAGCCCGGATACTGACAGCTTCGGTGGAACAGGCTCCTCAGATGGAGGTTCGAAGCTCGGCTTGGATAGAAATCGATAAGGCGACCTACCCAGAGGAAGGAATAAGCTTAAAATTGTGATTTAATCTCGAGACATATCGGCGTCGCACTATCGCTTACGAATGAACAGTTATACAAACAATTATTCATGTGAATAATTTGTGTACGAGATTTGTGTGTAAAGAAAATCATTCATGAAAACATAACACCAGCACAATGTCTACAAAATAAAAGGCTAGACAATTAATCACGCAGCGATCCTAAGAGCGCTTGTACACTCATTAAAAAATCAATGACAACACGACGTAATGATTCAAACGGGACTACTAATAGTATATCGCGTGTAGGTCTCGAATCTGGGACCTCGCATTCGCCATCGAATGCGCTGAGCCGTATGTATCTATGTTAGTGAATTGTGTGTTACGTATGATGCATCGTGTATATGCACTCCATTGTACTGTGCACTAGGATACACACAACCGTATACTGCACGGTTGCTTATTATTTACCTTATTACTATTTCAAAAATATTGCTATATATGCCAGCAGATTAGAAAGAGATGCGAGACTCTTCTTATCCTGCGAGATGGTATCGATGTTGTGAAATTGTGATCGATTTAGCGATTGCAGTCTTCCGACGTTACGGGATCTCTAAGAGGATGTAACCGAGCGGTTCTTTGATAGCGTTGAAAATTACCCCAATTAACTGATGGTGAACGCAGCATAGTGTTAATAGGAAGTTAAGCTGACCGTCAGTCAATACGTATTCGTGTTCTGGCCCAGAAAGGGGCAAAATTATTCCGCATCCACCGGTGGTTCCGCCAGTTAACACTACACATGCCTTCTGGAAGCTTGGGCAAACGTGCAAAATTTGCCTAATTAATTGACAAAGCACACGCTTATTTCGGGACGGTTTTCACCGTTTCCAGCCAAAGATTACCACAGTCATCGTCATCGGTCACCGTTGTCAAAATCCACATACCGATTCTAGACGGCCTGTTGCCATAAATATTCTATACATTGACATTGAATTAAAAGCGAACGCCCGGACAATGATATATCTGGGCTGTTATTGTTCTGTTGTTTTTTATTTTATATATACAGATATTGCATCAATTTGAGTTTGCGTTAGTATGCTCTCTCAAAACATATTCATTTTTAAGTGTTGCAAAATAGTTTGTCAATGCCAAGAGTTGTCTTTTTCAATTTATTGTATTCGAATAAACTTATTGTATATTAAAAACGAAAATCAATCGTCTTATCCCTATACCTAAGATCTGTTATTATTCTTTCATTAAAAAGTCGCGGGATTCCTATTACGGAGAAATTCGATCAGTAATAGTGGAAAATCTGCATACTAAATCAAACAGTACAAAACTGCTTACTGATACATTGCCTGCTTTCTACAGATTTTTATAATCTTGACTGATAGATTTACGAACTATTGTGAAGGCGCAGGCTGTGAGGACTATTTGGTTTCATTCCGAATTTCTCATAGTATAGTTTCTTTTGTATGATGAACGCAACGTCATTTTTTGGCGCGAAACTTTTTCTTTGACACTTTGTTGTCAGTTGAAATGAAAGAAGTTGTTTTGTCAATTATTAGCGATCAGCAGGTGCTCTTGAATGTTTTCTAAAACTCATAACATGATTTCTTAAATTATTTAATTCTATTTGTGTCAAAATGTTTGTTGAGGACATTAGAAATGACTTTTATAACGTGCTTTTGGGAAATGTAAGTGCCAGAAACTTAGTTATTAAATAACATTGTTAATGTGATGTGATTTCACTGTTTTTTTTTTTAGAGAGTCCTTTTACTGGTCCATTACGACGTGGATGCAATTTGCGCCTGCAAGATTCTACAAGGATTGTTCAAATGTGATAATATATCTTATACGCTAGTGCCTGTGGGGGGTATATCGGAACTTAAAACTGCTTATGAAGAAAATAATGAAGAAATCAAATATGTAGTGTTAATAAACTGTGGTGGCACCATTGACCTGGTGGATATACTACAACCTGAAGAGGATGTGGTATTTTTTGTATTAGACTCCCACAAACCAACTGATATTTGCAATGTTTATAGTGATGGTCAGGTAAGCAATTGATTAGCATGATATTTGTGTTTTAAAACATCTACATGTAACAATGGTTACACTATTAAATGTAATTGTGATTTTGTAACATTATTAAATATAAGGCTGGAAAATTACAGCTATATTTAAAGCAAAAAATTAACCCAAGTTCATTTTTTGGTTTATTAACTGAATTAAACTTTCCTGTATTAATACTTATTTAGGCCAAATTAAAATTTCTATAGATTCAGATAGAGAAAAACTATAAAATAAGTATATTAAAAATGTAGTTAATGTGTGTTACTATTTATTAATTAATTTGTACACAAATTTTTATAGTTTATTTTTCTGTAAATTTAGTTGTTAAGTATTCAAAATATTGTAACTTTGGAAATTATCTTAAAATTTAGAAAATAAATATTTTTGATACTATTATAATTACATTAACAATTTAGGGCACAGATTTTTCATTTTGATTAGATCATGTTAGATTTTGTCTTAATATGAAGTAAGTAATAGTGGTAAGTTATAGTGATAGCCAACTTAAATGTATATAGCAAAAGGGCATTGCACCTGTTCAAATACCTACTTTAATTCCTAGATATATTAGAAACTTGCTTGAGGTAAAAGTTATGTTTTTAGTTACATGTAATTGTTTCATTTTAGGTGAGATTAGTTTATAAGGATGAGGAAGAAAACATTCCTAACTTTGATGACATATTTAGAGATGATGATGATGATGAGGTAAGTTTAAACATCTGTATATTACTCTACTATAATATAAAAAATTAAAGGAAATACTTATACTTACCTACATTTAACTTGTAAATATATGATAGGTAGTTCCTTTTTGTTGGGTTTACCTTGTGAAAGGCCACCATTACCAATGTGATCTCTTAATATTCAAGTTTATTCTTTAAGGTTCAAGTACAAAAGTATAACTGTAAATAATAATATTGTGGTGTAATAAAATGAATAACATTTATTTTGTGTAAGGAAGAGCAGTCTGAAAGTGGTCGAGAGGGATTAGAAGCTGTGATGGAGAGGAGGCGGGCACGCAAAGCCTGGGAGGAGAGGAGGCACACACTAATGTTTAACTACACACAGTTCTCTTACTATGGGAAACCGGTTAGTGCATTCACTTTTATGTAATATTATTTCATATTTGGTTATAAATGTATAGAGAATTGAAATACAACTTTTATAAATGCTGTACTAGTCTGTTTTCTTATTATGTTCTGATCTTTGATTATTTATTGAATTTAATAATGCTTCTGTATATTGTTGGCGCTGGCAACACTGTTTACCGGATATGACGTTATCTACTCGAGCTAAGGGACACATGGTCGCATAGAGCAGCGGTCACTTGGATTTTCGGCCTCGTTCCCGGACGGTGATATAACCACAAGTGCTGCTTGTCGTTATAATAGATGTTAATATTGAAGTTCAGCAATAGTTAAAATATTAGGATCAAGGTATAAACGTTAGAACTCTTATAATATTCAGGGAGATTTTTTGTGAAGTGCCCAAATTTACAAAAGAGGTTCAGACTCAGTAGTATAATCGTTTATTCAAATAAGAAAATTTTTTTTTTTTTAAAAAAAAAATTCCATTCTGTTATCCAAAAAACAGAACGTGTTGACAATGCGGTAGTCATTCATAAATACCTAAATTTTACTATGCACGAACTTGTGTGCGTGTTAGTTATGTATGATCGCACGTAAAATAAATGAGTTGCGTATAAATCACGCACTTTTTAAGATAAGTTCAATGTTTAATTTTTGAGGTAATTCTAATGTAATTAATTACTTACGAGTGATTTTAAATATTTATCATTTTTTTATATAACATTATTTATTTATAGAATCTATAAAAAAATAATAGATACATTTATAAAAGCCATCCTGTATATATGTATGGCATTGATATTTGTGGTTATAATTTTCTTATTGTATTTGGGGTCCGCACCTCATTTGTTCTTACTGCTACACAAATCATAAACATTGTTGACCAAGACCTTCTAGATCTCGGTGGTCGATTGGACTTACTGCGCAACCCCTACTACACAGATCACAAACCTTATTGACCAAGATTTACTAGATTGTGGTGGTTGTTCGGATTTACTACTCAACCCATACTAAACAGATCACAAACATTACTGACCAAGATCATCTAGACTTGTCTTTAGGACTTCCTACCCGACCCCTTGCACACCACATGGTTGACCAAGATCGTCTAGATCGCACCGACACGGCACCATTTGGCTGGATCGGGTGTCTAAGCACCCGGGGAGAGGAGGCCTGCAAAGGCCTTTCTTTCTAAAATTGGTTTTCGTGTTCCCGCGTCCTCCCCGGCAAAGCGACAGCGCAGGTGCAACGTGGGCTTTTTAATGGGTACCCCGTAACTCCCACATACCGCTGCTGTCTACCCACAAGGCAGCGGGGGATCCATAAAGGATTTTTTCCACGTAAAAAACAAGATCTTCTAGATCGCGGTGGTCGTTAAGGCTTACTACCCAACCCCTTGCACACTGACCATTACCATCGGCCAGAGCGCGTGCGTGCTGGTGGAGCTGTGCGGGCGCGCGTCGCGGCTGTGCCCGTCGGCGCTGTGGGCGGGCGCGGTGGCGGCGGCGGCGCACGCGGCGCTGCACTCGCGGCCGCCGGCGCGCTGCCTGCTGGACGCGGAGCCGCTGCACCGGTACGCGGCCGCCGCGCAGCGCCACCGCGGCCCGACTGACGAGCCGCAGCGCGACCCCGCCGCCGACAGGGTCGGTTCGCGGTTTTTTTTTTTTTTTTTGCGGCGGCGGCCGCCTTCCAAATTTGAATTTTTAAGGGAATCGTCTAACGACGTATCGGTTTTTTATGTGGTGAGCTGGCAGTTCTAACTGATGTTAAGTGATGATCGCCGCCCATGGACGTTTGCAACACCCGTAGCGTTGAAGATGCGTTACCACCATTTAATAAAGTGGGCTCCGGTTACCTCACACACCAGACGAAACGCAGAAGTGAAACACTACTACTTCACGCCGGTCTTCTGTGAGGTGGTACTTGCCCATTCGCGCAACAGTTGAAGTGTTGCATGGCCCCACCACGATTAAGTAAATTCAAAGGTTTTAAGAAAATTTATTTAAGTTTTTCTCTTAAGCAAAGGTAACTTATATGTTAGTTGAAAAGGTGTTTTATAATTTCTAATTTGAGATATCCTTTATTTATTTTTCGTAAATTTAGCCAGAAGGCTTTTACAGAGGACTGTATAAAGGGTATCAGGATATAGTCCACCACGCAACCCCACTGCGGACTGGTGGGCTTCACATATCTACGAAATAGATTTTTTTTTATTATTTTTCGAAAATACTCAGGTTTCCTCGCGATGTTTCCTTCACCGCTGTTAAGTCAGCGCTCAAAATTAACAAGTTTATTGGTGCTCAGGGATTTAACTCGGATTGTTCAAGTATATTGAGTTAAAAGCGAGCGCCTGAACAATGAGCCATCACGGCTCGATTCCAATAAATCATAAAATACTTTGGTGCTATTAACAAACAATTTTCTTCCATCAAATGAACGTAATCGTCCTACTAAATTGACCTATTTCGAGGTGGCAGGTCTACTAAATAAATGCATACATTTCGGTTTCAGACTGCGTGTGTGGTAGTGGAGAAGGATGTCTGGCTACCGCTGTACCGTGAATGGACCCTGGAGGCGGCCCTCAGCCATTCGGCAGTCCTGGCCCCCAAGCTGAAGTTGCACGCCCGCTCCGGATCCTCGAGGCTGCGACAGCTGCTAGCTGACATGGGGTGGGACCCTTAAGGATTTCTTTTTTAAGTTATTTGTCGGACTTAATAAGCCACAACGTCTCTAACTTTAATTCTATTAGGTAGTGTGTTTAATATAATTAAGGTCCGTTTAAATACAACATCCCACATCTACCAAACTACTCTACAGATGTCTCTGTAGGCCTCACAAAATTTGGTGAAGAGAGTGAGACAGTAGCTGGGCCCACGTTATTAGGAGGTGGCAACCCTACGGGTGTTGCAAATGTCAATGGGCGGCGGTTATCGCTTAACATATGAACTGCCAGGTCGCTAGCCACCTTCTCGCATAAAAAAACGTATCCGTATACTTATGAACGCACGTCAGAAGTTGTACTTTTTAAAATTTTTCTTGTGAAAAAAAAATACATTAAATACAATTGATGACGGTTCAATTAAACCACTTGGGTGAATGTCAAAAAGTTTTTATCGTATGCCACGTTAGCACCGTGAAGTTGGTGTCGCTTTTACGCAATGATATTAACAAAGATTTAAATTGAAAGATTGAAATTTCACCATTCGTATGATAAGTATTTATTTACAAATGAAAAATGTGTACCCATAGTACAAGCGTTGCTTAGTATGCGTGTAGAGAACGTGTCTCGAAACATTTATTCGATTGCTCCAGCATCCCGTTGCAGCAGGCGCGGCAGGCGTACCGCGCGATGGACGTGGAGCTGCGGCGCTCTTTGCTGGGCGCGCTGGAGGCGGCCGCGCCGCGCCACCAGCTGCCGGCGCCCACGCGCGCCACCTTCACGCTGCGCCGCCCGCACGCGCCGCCGCTCGCCGCGCTCGACGCGGTCTACGTGCTCATGGCGCTCGTCGAGCACGTAAGCGCCCCGGCTGGAGCGCTCAGGCGCACCGAAGCGCCCGAGTGTGACGATTCGAACGCCACTGCCCATGGACCCGCTCGAGTCGGCGCCCGCCCGATTATATTGCGTAGGTTGCTCTACGTGCTCATGGCGCTCGTCGAGCACGTAAGCGCCCCGGCTGGAGCGCTCAGGCGCACCGAAGCGCCCGAGTGTGACGATTCGAACGCCACTGCCCATGGACCCGCTCGAGTCGGCGCCCGCCCGATTATATTGCGTAGGTTGCTCTACGTGCTCATGGCGCTCGTCGAGCACGTAAGCGCCCCGGCTGGAGCGCTCAGGCGCACCGAAGCGCCCGAGTGTGACGATTCGAACGCCACTGCCCATGGACCCGCTCGAGTCGGCGCCCGCCCGATTATATTGCGTAGGTTGTTCTACGTGCTCATGAAGCTCGTCGAGCACGTAAGCGCCCCGGCTGGAGCGCACGGATATGCCTGTCCGAACGCCACTGTCCTTGAACCCCCTCGAGTCGGCGCCCGCCCGATAATATTACGTAGATTGCTCTACGTGCTCATGAAGCTCGTCGAGCACGTAAGCGCCTCGGCTGAAGCGCACGGATATGCCTGTCCGAACGCCACTGTCCTTGAACCCCCTCGAGTCGGCGCCCGCCCGATAATATTACGTAGATTGCTCTACGTGCTCATGAAGCTCGTCGAGCTCGTAAGCGCCTCGGCTGAAGCGCACGGATATGCCTGTCCGAACGCCACTGTCCTTGAACCCCCTCGAGTCGGCACCCGTCCGATTATATTGCGTAGGTTCCTCTACGTGCTCATGGAGCTCGTCGAGCACGTAACTGCCTCGGCTGAAGCGCACGGATATGCCTGTCCGAACGCCACTGTCCTTGAACCCCCTCGAGTCGGCTCCCGCCAGATTATATTACGTAGGTTGCTCTACGCGCTCATGAAGCTCGTCGAGCACGTAACTGCCTCGGCTGAAGCGCACGGATATGCCTGTCCGAACGCCACTGCCTATGAACCCGCTCGAGTCGGCGCCCGCCCGATTATATTACGTAGATTGCTCTACGTGCTCATGGAGCTCGTCGAGCACGTAAGCGCCTCGGCTGAAGCGCACGGATATGCCTGTCCGAACGCCACTGCCTATGCACCCGCTCGAGTCGGCGCCCGCCCGATTATATTGCGTAGGTTGCTCTACGTGCTCATGGCGCTCGTCGAGCACGTAAGTGCCTCGACTGAAGTGCACGGATATGACTGTCCGAACGCCACTGTCCTTGAACCCCTTCGAGTCGGCGCCCGCCCGATTATATGGCGTAGGTTGCTCTACGTGCTCATGGAGCTCGTTGAGCACGTAAACGCCTCGGCTGAAGCGCACGGATATGCCTGTCCGAACGCCAGTGTCCTTGAACCCCCTCGAGTCGGCTCCCGCCAGATTATATTACGTAGGTTGCTCTACGCGCTCATGAAGCTCGCCGAGCACGTAACTGCCTCGGCTGAAGCGCACGGATATGCCTGTCCGAACGCCACTGTCCTTGAACCCCCTCGAGTCGGCTCCCGCCAGATTATATTACGTAGGTTGCTCTACGCGCTCATGAAGCTCGTCGAGCACGTAACTGCCTCGGCTGAAGCGCACGGATATGCCTGCCCGAACGCCACTGTCCTTGAACCCCCTCGAGTCGGCTCCCGCCAGATTATATTACGTAGGTTGCTCTACGCGCTCATGAAGCTCGTCGAGCATGTAACTGCCTCGGCTGAAGCGCACGGATATGCCTGTCCGAACGCCACTGTCCTTGAACCCCCTCGAATCGGCTCCCGCCAGATTATATTACATAGGTTGCTCTACACGCTCATGAAGCTTGTGGAGCACGTAAGCGCCTTAGCTGGAGCGCTTACGCGCACTGAAGTGCCCGAGTATGACGATCCTAAACCATGAATGAGTCTCGGTCGCTATACGAGAACGGTCTCTGACGCCATGTCATTCGTGGAGTATGTAAGCGCCCCAGCTGAAATGCATTAAGGGGCACTGAAGCGTCATAGTATGCGATGCAGACTCTTAACATATGCTTCATAATAGCATTAAGCTACTAAATATTTGAAAACACACATTGTTACACTTTGATACCCTTAATTAGTTCAGGACTAACAAAATGTTATCTGCATGAAATCATAACAAAATGTTATCTCCATGAAATCCAAATAAAACCTTAGTTAATGATTGTAGAAGTAGACTGGATGTGTAAAACTTCCAGTAAATTTAACACAAACAGTTGTTAGTTCTATAACACAAAATTATTTTTCTTTCAGGAAACAATTCCTAAAGCGGAGGGATTCCAGCAAGCCTTAGCAGCTCTTGAAGTGTCCGGTGAGAACGAAGCCTGGCGCAAAGGTGCGGCAGCGGCTAGGAGGTGTTTGCAAGCCGTCGCTAGCGTTGTGCACACCACATTGTCTTCCAGAAGATTGCTACTGGCCGGTCCATTTAGCTACTTCATTGTGCAAGAGGTAATATATCATGTGTAACAAGTGTTAATCGGAGTCGCGCAGAGTTCCGTACCATTATGTATAAAAATTTATATGAATTATATATAAATAGTTTAAAAAAGTAATAAGTTTCAAATTAACTATGGTAGGCCAGGCAGTCTTAATAGTAGCCAGAAGTCTTATACTTCTGCGTTTTGTCTGGAGAGTGAGGTACCCGGGGCACACTTTACTAAAAGGTGGCAACGCATCTGCAACCTTACATGTGTTGGGAATGTCTACGGCGGTTATCACTTAATATCAGGTGAATATATTAAAAACAATTCAAATGAAGACATCATGAGCATTTTATTGACAACTAAATCGAAGTCATCCTTAAAGTCGAATGAGAAGGAAAAATCTATTTATTTGTGCAGGGAAGCCCCGAGGCGTCGCTGGTGCGCGGCCCGCTGTGGCTGGGCGAGGCGGCGCGGTGGGCGGGCGGAGGGGGGGCGAGGCCGCTCCTAGCCAGCGCCCCCGCCGCGCCCCCCTCCCCGCCCGGCACCTGCCTGCTGCTCGGCCTGCCGCCCCGCTTCGACCAGGAGCCCCGCAAGTGAGCACCCCTCCCCCTCTTTAAAGGCATCATAATCTACCCAAACTCTTCTCCCCCTCTTCAAAGCCATTATAGTCTACCAAAGAACTATATGTTTCCTTCTCTGGATGGACCTGCCCACTCACGCAACTGGGTCCTGTCGCGTGGCCCTACCACAGTTGCCTCAGAACGACTAAGTGTAAACAATTCCAAAAATTTTGTGAAAATTACCCTAATGGAAGGGACCTATTTGAATAATACACAAAATCAAAGAATGTTTGGTCGGCGAGTTCGGAAGGATTCGGACGTTGACACGTGCTTTAGTTATATTTTTCTTGGAAGTTTGATTTAGTTATTTCAGTTGTGTATCCATATTGTTGTTGGTTCTTGTGGTTGTGGGTTTATTTAATTTGGTAAGTGTCTTATATGTAATCGCTTAACAAGAAGGATGTGTGATGCAGGAGATGATGATCCTCCCCCAGGTGGAGGAGAAAACACATCCTCTGATATAGACATGGCGCCTATAACTGAGTTTATCACCCCTAGTCGTCCTCATAAGAGACCAGCGTACTTAGAAATCGCTAGTATATCCAAAAAAAACATTACTCCCGCTGCTTCAATTCAGGATACTTACACTAGACCTGGTTTTGAGCCTGACAAAAAAATTAGGTATACTGAATTTAATCAAGGTCCCTTCACTGTCCACGTGTCTCGTATGGAGGCTTATCCTTCTGAGGGGCTCTCTATTAAACTACTTAATTTTGCACAGCTACTACATAAAAACAAGATTTCTGGTATTGTATTTGATGGCATCAAAGTATTAGGCCGAAATAAAATTTCTGTTCAATTTGAAAATTACGTAGAAGCCAATTCCTTTATTGAGAATTCTATATTACAAAAAAAATAATTTCAATGCAGAGGTCCCAAAGTTCCTGGTTTCTCGAATGGGTGTTGTCCGCCAAATACCCTTGGAGTGGTCCCTTGAAGAACTGGTTTCTGGGATACAATGCCCTCCAAATTGTGGTCCTGTCATAAGAGCTAGAAGGTTAAATGTGAAAAATCGGCAAAACAATAATGTTAGACCAACTTGGGAACCATCCACCACAGTTGTGTTGACCTTCCTAGGTCAAACTCTCCCACATAAAGTTTATTGTTTCCATGCTTCTCTCCCAGTCTCCATATACCAACTCCCTACCATACAATGCCATAACTGCTGCAGATTTGGCCATGTCCGTGCTCAATGTCGATCTAAACCTAGATGTTTTAAGTGTGCTCAACAACACCCTGGGGACTCCTGTACAGTACCTGAACCGGTTGTCTCTATAAAGCCACTGAGCCTATCTGTCCAGAACATTTGCGCCAGAAAGATATCAAACATGTAATGTCCCAAGAGAATGTTAGTTATTCTGAAGCATCAAGCCGCTTTCCCATTTCCAAATTATCTTTTGCTGATGTAATCCGCTCCTCTCCAAAAAATTCACTAGTCCCTTCTTGGCTCCCATGTAATGTCCCTTCTTCTTCCAATGCCTGCCCTCTCCCTTCACAACAATCCCTGGTTTATGAACATTCTTCATACTCTCATAGGTCGCCATCTGTTGTCTACAATAAATCTCTTCCTCAGCAACCCCGTCCTAGATCCCCCCAGAGTCAATCTTATGATAAACATGCTCATCAAGAAATTGTTAGAACTCCCAAATCCTCCCAACCTAATGGCAGTGCGCTTGGAACACTTAGTCCTACTCCTTATGCTACTCCTAACGATAATCTGATTGAGCTACTCACATGCTCTTTGATTAACATGGTACCCAATTTTTATGGTAGATTATGAGGCGCTAGTTTATAGGCCTAGGGTTATTCTATCGATGGGTATAGATAAGAACTCACCCAATGTCCATATCCAATTTAATAGAATTCTTGAAACTGAGTTTAATGGCTGGATGACATTTTACACTGATGCCTCAAAGTTGATTGATGGTGAAGATGTGGGTGCTGCTGTCTGGTTACCTAGGTACAAAATTATATTGAACTTTAAATGCCCTCCTCAATGTTCTGTTTTTAGTGGAGAGGCAATAGCTATTTTAGAAGCTGTATCTTATATTGAATCTCATCAACTAAATAGATCTATAATTTTCTCTGATTCATATAGTTGCTTACAAGATATCTTGAAGCTCCCATTTCACTCTAAAGATAACTTTTTTAACACTAAAAATTAAGCAAGCATTATATAAATGCTACTGTGCTGGTCTACAAGTAGTTTTAGCATGGATTCCAAGTCACTGCGGCATTCTTGGAAATGAAAAAGCAGATTGCTGTGCCAAAGAAGCAATTCAGCTCGGAACCCCTAAGTGTAATAAATGTTTTGTACGTGATCTGCGTCTCTCCGCCAAACATAATATGATAAGGGTTTGGGGTGACATGTGGCGGGCGATTGGACGTGAAAGGTGTAAATATTACAGTCTAATTCAACCTTTTATACCTACCAAACCTTGGTTCTTTAGTTATAGATGCTATCACAAAAAGACTACATCTATTATCATCAGGCTCAGACTAGGCCATGTATGTTCACCTGTGTTTCTGGCTAAACTGCATATTCGAAATACGTCTTTGTGTGAATGCGGGTTAGATGAGGGTACTCTTGATCATTTATTCTTTAGTTGTCCTATGTTATGTCCCTTTATATGACCTACTCCCACCCACTATTGCACGTCCTGTGAATGTTAGTTGTCTGTTAACTCTTGTCTATGCCCCATTCATTAAAACTCTAGTTAGATTTATAGAAATTAACAATATACGGCTTTAAGTTGGTATATAAGATTTTTGTTTTTCGCCTTTTTTTGTTCCTGTTCCCTTTTTTTTCTTTTTTTTTTCTCCCTTTATTTATATATGGCTGATGTCCCTTGACTAATGACCATCTTACTAATTACTAATAAGGTGTTTTGTTCCTCTCTTTACAGGTATGCAACTGAAAGTGGTTTAATACAGTAGGTTATTATTGTCATGTCCTTAGCCTAATCGATCTCCAAGTACCAAGTTGTTGGCAAAATCACTGACGTATCAGTGGAGCCACAGTAGAAAAAAAAAATCAAAGAATAAATTGAAGACTAGGATCTCCACAAAAAATCACAAGAAAACATAGATCTGGAAAAATTATATAGCGAACACTGAGTGCTATCAAATTTTGATTTTATATTGTTTTTTTTTCCACGAACTTAATGTCTCATTTTTTTCGTCAACAGTCTGTTCGGTGCGGCTTTCGAGCAGGCGGCCACCAAGAGCGGGACCTCTGTCTCCCTGGACCATGTGGACACTTCAGTCATCACGCTGCCGACAGCGCAACGGGCCCAGTTTCTAGACGCCCTTACAGCCCTTCTGGCGTGACGTGACCTTTCAAACATATATACCAGTTGTAGAGTCCATCCCATAAAACACTTGGAGAGGATATATGATTTAGTTTAAATAAAGAAGCAAGTTCATAGCCCCTCAGACTTATCAGTGGGTGCTGTAGCGGATTTAACCTATAAGTGTTATGAGTAATGCTCGATATGAAAAATCTTTACAGGCATTTAATAACGCTTTGGATGTACAGAGACCAGTGAAAGGCTTGATTTGAAAAAGCAAGTACTTAGACAGCCACTGACCTGCTGGTATACATTATCTGAAGCCTTTAAACCACAGGGGTGATACAAAAAATACAAGAAATGGACCTATAATCAACAATCAACCTATAAAAATAATTTTCCACATGTAGGTATAATATTAATTGTAACAATGCATTGGGTGATAGTTAATTGTATATAATTTGTGTGAAAGAATGAATAGATTACACCGGAAATACTGTCTGGACTTTGATTTCTTAATAAAGTGATGTCCATAATTGTTACTTAACCAATTTCAATTTCCCAATGAAGTGTTGAATGGATATTATTGTGTATGAGTGTGTCAAATATGTTTTAAGCAATCAGCGATCGGTGTAAGCTATAATTATTAATTGAACTGACTGTAATTACAATTTTAGTTAATGATTTCTGATGATATTTATTTATAATTTAATTAATGAATAAATTTGAATTGATATACATATATGGAATTTGTTTCATTTATTTTTTTAACACATGCATGAGTACATTTTATGTTTTTACAAAATTATAAGTAAAATTAAAGTATATTCGATATAATAATAAATTAAAATTGATTATGTATAAACTTGTTTATCATGTCTAGAGCCCATTTCGGCTGGTCGTGAGGGACCATGTGCCCCGCGTTTCTTACCAGCACCTCGGTCAGGTTGTGCGCCGTTTTGACGTAGCCGGCAATATCAGCGCCCACCTTCCATATCCTGCGTGGAGCGCGCTTGTATTCCTCCGCGGACGAAAACCTCAATTTCCTCAGGAAGTTCTCCGTAAGCGGGTACGCCACGACGATGTCCAGTTGTCCGTTGTAGAGCAAAATTTTGTAGTGCGACAACAGTGTCTCTAATAGGGGCGCCACCGATTTCAACAAGTCTAGCGCCAAGCGGATTCGCACTTCTTCGCCGGAGTTGAAAGGCAGCCCGCCCACGTGGACGCTGCGCCTGACTTTGTCGTTGTGGAGTAAATCGACGAAAACTGTCATGTCCTCATCGTCCTCCGGCTTCATGAAGTTGTAGTAGTAATCAAAGCCAGTGTACTTCTTGAAATATGACGAGTTCGTCAGTTCTCCATCGATTAATTGGTCCATTAGGATATCAGCCTGCGCCCAATTTTCTTTTTTTATTTCGGCGGCAATCTTTGCTTGTAGATTGAGAAACACGTCTCGTTGATTGTCATCTAATAAGCCGTGCTGATATAAGTAATTGCCGTAGTCCAATTGATTAATTGGATCACAATACGCATTCCCTAGTGCGAGCCCTTTTAAATTAATCACCTGTTTGGATTCGCAATTTTTTCTACGTATGTACATCGCTAGTGTCGGTATATATTTTCCCGCGTAAGATTCACCGGCAATATAAAGTTCATTATTCCTTAAATTAGGAAATAAAGTAAAGAATTGTTGCAAAGTTCCATAAAGATCTCTTGCTATACAATCTTCATTAGTACAGTATCCGTCATCTTTTTTCGTAAAGCTAAACCCTGTGCCAACTGGGTTATCAATAAAAATTAAATGATAATTTAGTGCCCAATGTTGCTTTCTTATCCCAAACCCACCTTCTTTGGCTATTAATGGGCCAACTTCTGTAAACAGACCAAAGAGGGAACTTGCACCTGGACCACCTTGCAACCAGAGAATTATTGGACAGTGTTCTTTTTTTGAAAAGGGCGGGAAATACCAAAAGTACAGATTTGAGTTGCAAATTTCGTTAACGGTAAAAAACCCAGCATAACTTTTAAAACCCAACTTTTCGGTCAGCTGTACTTGTGACAAAGTTTGCGCTAGTGAAATGTTTCCTTTTTTTAGATATGGTGTAAGGAATAATGCGTCACCTGTATCTTTCATATCCTTGGCGTTTAACTTCACATGTGGGTAAACGTATGGGAAAATGGTACATGTTCCCAAACATAAAAAATTGGCAAACAATAATAATTTAGTTATCATGGTCACCTGCAACAACAAAGTATTGCATCTGATTAAAATAAAGAAAAGAATTCAAAACAAGCTTCTAGTTGTGAAAAATTATTCAATAAATTAGGTACTTTATGTAGGGCTTGTCATGATTTGGCATTTAGAGTTAGTTATTTTGATAGATAACAAAAACAATAAAAACTATATCTTCATTGTCTCGTAAAATTAGATGATGAAAATTGCAAATGGTGCAACAATGGCGAAGGGATTATTTTTATTTTTTAAGCAATGTGTTATAATACCTAATATATATATTTGTAGAAGTATATAATCAAAGATAATACCTAAAGACCTAAAAGAAATCTATATTCTGTCTAAATGTAGCTAAACTGTAGGTATTTCAAAATTTAGATAATAATCTATCATCTTATTCAGCACCTAGCCACAACAAATAAAAAAAATCTTTCGTTGGCTGAGTACCTACAATAATCAAATAATTTTGATTTAGTACGTAGGTATGTAATATACATATATAATATGTAAAGTACTACTTAAGTACTTAAAGTTAGACAGTTCAATGCATAACAAAACATCTTTAATACATAAAACATTAAACAATTTGAGTCAAACTGTAATAGTACCTACCTGGAAACAAACGTAGGTAAATAATAATTCATGAATTTTTATGATCTTTCAACTTTGATTAAATTCCGCACAGTCGGTCAGTTGATATATCGCACATTGTTACAAGTATAACAATTGCTTGTTTATAATATACCAGCGATAAAAAGGTTAAGGTGATCCAACTATCGCGTTTGTGCGTCGACTGTACTCTCAATCTCATCTCATCTCATTTCATTCGTTTGACGCGAGTCGTGTGGATACAACATGTGTCGGTATTCACTATTTTTCTTAATTCAATTATTCATTACGGGCAACTGTTTCATACATCGGTACCCAAAGTTGAATCTTGAAAATCAAGACGATGGTGATCCCGGAACACCGCTATTCCTCACTCCATACATCGAAAGCGGTAATATTACAATTGGTAGGCAGCTGGCGCGAGTACCCTTCACAGAAAGTCTACGCATAAAAAGCTACGCCGGCTTCCTTACGGTTGATAAACAATATGATTCGAATCAATTCTTCTGGTACTTCCCAGCAATGATACCTAACAATAAAGAAGCCCCAGTTATAGTTTGGCTGCAAGGTGGACCCGGTGCTTCTTCTTTATATGGTCTATTTACTGAAAATGGACCACTGAAGGTGATAAACGGAAAATTTGAACGTCGCAAGTACAATTGGGCACTAAGCCACCATATTATTTACATCGATAACCCAGTGGGTACTGGATTTAGCTTTACAAAAAATCCCAAAGGCTATTGTACAAACGAGACACAGGTTGGTGAAAATCTTTATGCTACTATAACACAATTCTTCCAGTTGTTCCCAGAGTTGCAAGCAAATAAATTTTTCATAACAGGAGAATCTTATGCCGGCAAATATGTCCCAGCTTTTGCTTACACCATTTACAAAAAAAATCCAGAGGCAAAAATTAAAATTAACCTGAAAGCGATAGCTATTGGCAATGGTCTGAGTGATCCTGAACATCAACTTGTTTACAGCAAGTACTTGTACCAAATTGGTCTTTTAGACTGGAATCAAGCAAAGATATTTGCCGACTATGAAAGTAAAACAGTGAATTTCATAAAGGAGGAGAAGTGGGATGAAGCATTTGAAACATTTGATTCCCTTTTAAATGGGGATTTGATTGATGGTCAAAGCTTGTTTTACAATATGACAGGCTTTAAATATTATTTCAACTATTTGCACACAAAAGAGTACAAGGACTTTGAAGATTTTGGACCAATGCTTCAGAAGAGCATTGTGAGGAAGGCATTGCATGTTGGCAATTTAACATTTCATGATGGTCATGATGTTGAAGAACACCTTAAGGCTGATGTTATGCAATCAGTCGCTCCTCTTATTTCGGAGCTACTAGATCATTATTATATTCTCATATACAGTGGACAACTTGATATAATTGTTGCTTATCCTTTGACCCTTAATTATTTGAGAAATCTGAACTTCACTGGATCTGATGACTATAAGACTGCAAAGAGGTACCAGTGGAAGGTTGATGGCGAGCTGGCGGGTTATGTGAAACAGGGAGGAAAGTTGGTGGAAATTATGGTGAGGAATGCTGGCCATATGGTTCCTGGGGATCAGCCTAAGTGGGCTTTGGACATGATTACTCGATTGACTCATGAGAAGACATTTTATTAATTCCTAATATGATTAATACAAAAGTATGCTAATTAAGAATAAGTTAATTTTCATAATATGTTATACATTAATGTTGGGTGAATATGTAACATTTAGTCTTTGTCACTTGAAAATATTTTGTAAAAATTTTATAACAATTGAATCAATAAAAAAATGTGCCCTAAATCTTGTAAAAACTTATTATTGTTTCAGTTATATCTCCTTCTACAACATTGAATAATATTATTAAAAATAAAATACTTAAAATTCATTAGAAAGAAATGATAATTTCCATGTTGTTAATTAATGACTATAATTATCCCAAAAAGTTTTTGGGATGAAATACAATTATAACAAATCTGCAAATATAAGAAATAATACACATTTGTAGTATGAAATGTCACTTTAATCACTTTAGCATTAAACTAAACTAATTTTACTCATATCTGAACTTCCAGATCTTGCAATGTATGAGTAATACCCAATAGGTAGTAATGAATCTTACATTAAGTCAAAGTTACCGACAATTAATATTACAATATGAAAGACACTTCAAACAAACTTTCTAGACTTATCTAATACAGTTAATTGGTACAAAAAGGAATGAAAACACTCTTATATCTATCGGCCTTCAATATATGTAGACAGCTCTATTTCTTCAGGTAATTCAGTTATATTCACGTCAAATCTGTCTTGAACTTCATTAAGAATTTTTGCATCATTTACATCGGAAACCATGGTAATAGCAAGACCTTTTGTGCCAAATCGTCCAGCACGAGCCACTCGGTGAAGGTATGTGTCAGAATCTTCAGGCATATCATAGTTGAAAACAATGTTTACTCGCTCTATATCCATACCACGGCCAAACAAGTTGGTAGCAACTAGAATTCTTTTTTGGAAATCCTTAAATTGCTGATAGCGGGATAGCCGTTCATCTTGAGTCATGTTCCTGTGAATACCAATAGCGGGAAAGTTTTGATCTGTAAGTAGTTGTGCTAGTGCTATGCAGCGTTGAACTGATTTAACAAAAATCACTACTTGATTGAATTCCAACACATCAAGCAGTTCAAAAAGTTTCTTGTTCTTCTCATTCTCTTTAAGTTTAACATAATGTTGCTGCAGACCATGCAATGTCAATTTGGCTTCGTCATCCACATACACTTCCATTGGGTCTTGCATGAATTTCTTGCAAACTGGCCGGATCTCTTTGCTCAAAGTAGCAGAAAACATCATCACTTGTTTTCCATGAGGAGTGTTCCTAAAAATCTCCTGTACATCCCGCCTCATGTCTAATGACTCCAACATCTTGTCACATTCGTCGAGGATAAAATGCTTGAGGTGCTTTAAGTTTAGCTTCTTGCTGTTGACTAAAGCGAGAATTCTACCAGGTGTCCCCACAACAATGTGTGGGCAAGCAATTTTCAAAACCTCCTCGTCTTTTTGTATAGGCATTCCGCCGAAGAAAACCGACACCCGAACGCCGGCCATATATTTCGAGAAACGCTCGTACTCTTTACTGATTTGAAAAGCTAATTCTCTTGTATGGCACATAACCAACACATAAACATGATTTTCCGAGGGCTCAAGTTGTTGAAGCGTTGCTAATACAAACACAGCGGTTTTGCCCATACCGGACTTGGCTTGGCACAAAATGTCCATACCAAGTACAGCTTGTGGAATACATTCATGTTGGACTTCTGAAGGATGTTCAAAACCGCAATCAACAATTGCTCTTAATATTTCGGGTTTTAAAAGAAAATCTCTGAAACCTGAGCTGTGAATCGATACGTACGATCCCTTAACCTCTTTTTTTGGCGCCGCTTCTGTGGCTCCGTCTGCGGTTTGCTGATCTGCCTGTTCCTCGTCTTCATAGTCGAGAAGATCGTCGTTGTCGGCCATTGTTTATAAAATTGGAAGTAAATTTGATGCTAAACAATTTGTACAAATTGTTTTAGCACGTGAAAATTACCTCCAAAAAGTTATTTCACAATAATGGCGTCCTCAGCTAAAGCAAAAAGGCAAAATACCACAGACAACTAATATAACAAAAGCGTTAAGCAACGCTGCAATTTTTTATTATCTTCAACACAGATAAAATATAACCGTGATTTTTAATCAAATTACAATTACAATACAATTCATTTTTTCTATGAATGCGTCCAAGCTAATGATTATTCATGAGATGTTTTTTTTTCTGTTAAAGTGGAGTACAATTTTAAACCAAATGTTTCCAGTTGTAGCTAACTTTAAAGAGTGTGCCTCCTTATTTTCTGCTTTATTTTTAGAAAATATGATTGAAAAGCTAGAAATGACAACATAGAAAACTTATAATTTACTGTGTTCAAGTAACCCTGGTCAATTTTGTAGGCTTTCATTTTAGTAGTCTTAAAATAAAATCAAAATAATTTCAATCATGAGTCATATTAACGACGAACGATGGGTTATGATAATTGTTAATTATTAAAAAAGTAATTAATTTACGAGTAATAAATAATTAATTTATCATTTACGAGAAACATGTTTTACGATAATTTTTATAGTTTTCCGAAGTAACTTCGTTCTTAGAGACACCCGAAAGTCATCCAAATCCTCAGGTGGTAACAGCATTAAGTTAACCGAATCCCAACAAGAACGTTTGCAAATATTGTAATGCGTAACAGCCTCCTTAAGGGGGACGAAATCTTACATAATTATGCACTGGGAGTGACGTCGTACGTCGACTTCCACGTCCCGTAACCGACAATCTCTTTATTTATGTTAATGCACGTATGCCCACATGAGTGACTTTGCTCACTTAGAATCTTGAACCGCATGAAAACAATCTTTTGATAACCATTACGATGTATCTTAAAAACAACAGTGTTCGCTGTTACACGGATGGGCAGGTCCATCCGGGTGAGGCCAGAAGACCAGCGTAAAGCAGAAGTGTTATACTTCCGTTTCGTCTGGTGATTGAGGTAGCCGGGTCAACTTTGTCGAAAGGTGGCAAAGCATCTGTAACCCTACGGGCGATGCAAATGTCCATTGGCGGCGGTTAACACTGATGTTAAGTGTGAACTGGCAGATCGTGTCACTTTCTCACATTAAAAAAAGCGTGATGCTGCGAATTTTATTATTGGAAGGACAAGGAAATAAGAGCGAAAAAGTTTTCGTCCATATTTCTTTGCTGTCTTATACTGAAACAACCCGAGTTCGAACCCCTGCCGGGACCAATGACATAGTTAATTTTAAGTGCTGACTTATCTCGTGCTTAGCGGCGAATGTGAACATCGTGAGCAAACCTGCATATTTCCTAAATAATAAAAAAAATATTTGGAAGATATATGAATTCCGCCAATCCGCAGCGGGGTGGCGTGGTGGATGCCCTAATACCCATAATAGAGGATGCCTTTGCCCTGCAGTGGGACATTAATTTATCGGCTATTACTTTACTTTTTTTTATTTCAATTAAGTGCAGAGAATGTCAGTATAAAATTTTTTAAGTAAATTAATTTACTTTAAAATATTTTTATAACATAGATGTTATCTCCAGTTTTCAAATATTTCAGTGTAAAATGTAAGTGACGTAAACTTTTGAATGAATTATATAAAAAATATATTCTATATATTTGAATAAAGACCAAAATAGAGAATGTGAAAATTTTATTTCATATAAACAATCAGATCACAGATCGAAAATTAATTAAACATAACTATTGTAATGTCTAAAAACATCTACCATTGTTACAGTCACACAATTACAGGAAATAATAATACTGAATATTATATAAACAAAACGATCACTATACATATCTTGTATTCTACAGTTACATGGTGTAATAAAATAAAAAAAAACTTTAACCAACTAATGATGTCAGAACAAACATTGTCTACAAATATTCTGTTTTCTTTACGTTGAGTCATCTAGTCTTTCTATTATACTTAATTTAAATTCTATCACCAAGTACAAGACCACCTTTTTGTCATGACAAAATGTATCTAAAGTTTTTTTATAGAAAAGTACTCTTAAAAACACCTATTTTGTTTGTTGTCATTCATTTTTGTTTTAAAATTTGCGTTGCGGCTCTAAGCCAACGGAAACATGTAAAATTTTGCTATTTTAATTGAATTATAATTGAATGTATTTGGAATCCAAGTAAATATTTTTCTGTCAATTAACTCCGTGGTTATAGTGTCCTAGGCAACAATTTTGTATGAAGATGACAATAACCCACATTTTTTTAATTCATTTTTATTAAACCTCTGTAAGATAAATGTTTCTACAACAAAAATCCAGTTAATGCGCATAGGCTGTCAATTAACAGGCTTAAGAATATTTAAAAAAAAAAACTAAGGGATATTATAGCGGTTGGCTGTGCCTTCACAGACCGGTTCCGACAATAAGTGAGGGGAAGATTTGCTGCTTGTTAGCGCTGGTTCTTCTGACTCTGGGCTGAAGACCAGAATTACTGCTCAAGAAGGGACTGATGAGGTGGTCAACGATGAAAAAGCAAAAATTTTTTTTCAATAATCTCTTTTTTTCTTACAATCAATGCACCTATTTAAACTTCTCTGGACCACCCAAAGGTTGACTGGTAGATAATGCTGATGGCATTAAGTCCGGCTCTGTACATATTTTGTGTGCATAAAGTATAAATAAATAAATAAAAAGCGTACTTATGCCGTTTAGGTGAAAAATCGTTGAGGTTTTAGCCGGTGCTACTCCGATATAAGTCTTCTTTGCCCCTACAAAAGCTGGTATGGGGCAACCTCCGGATAAATACAGAATGCTTCTAAAAACCGCGTTCAAACGTTAGCGAGCCATGACCATTTTTCGTCGTTACAAAGTTTTTTCCTTACGGTAATCATGGCTAGCCAAACCATGCATATTATTAATTTAGTTATTTATTTTAATATTACACGTAATGTTTGCACAGTTCCTATAAATAAACTGTTTTATTAGCCTTTAATGAATATACTAACAATATATACACAAAGGATATTAAAATAGGCGAAGAAGTCAACGTTCGAGCAAGATAATTTATCACCTCTGCCCTGCTTCGTAGGTTAAAAGTAATATTCATCATATAGGGTGTCCTTAATTTACAATGATTCATTAATTTGTATCTTGATTGATGCTGACTGCGAAATTAGGTCATTGTGAGTATCTCTGACACTGAATTTTATTTATTACAAAAACAATATACAGTTTATCGAAGTAAGTTAAGTGAGCTAAAAAGTCTATATGAAAAAGTATCTATGTGTACTACAATACTAAGATGTAAAAAATGCATTTAATTTTTTTTAAATCCCAAACCATAGAGTTGAGTAACATCACACAAAGGTGGGAAATAATTAACTTTACCGAGCTACACTCTACTTCTATGAGAATTTAGAAATATCTATAAAACGATTGTTCATTATACAAAGTTATTATATTTTGTATTCACGGATAAAAGTATAATAACCGCTCTACGGTTTGATCGAAAAGCGTATAATTCGGCAAATAAACGAAATTTTGTCTATGCTTATTTGCCTTTTGTCATAAGTGACTGGAAACTAAATGCACGAGTTTATCAGCGGGCATTATTAAAGACAAATAAGCAGAATCAGTCATAATAAAGGCTCCGCCCATGCGCGGTATTATCTGCAGACATTCCGAAATCATCCTATATTCGACTATCATTCTATAACTCCGTAATATCTGTACAGAACGGTTGACGTTGGATAATAATATAATAAAATAGATATATTTGTAAGTAACGAAAAGAACCTTCTTATAAAGTTGCGTACATATGTGAACTCGATGATGGCATAATATAATTATGCGCCCGAAAATATGTTATTATATTAATCATCGATTATTCGCTTCCGCTTGTTCTTGTTTGCCTTTGTCGGGGAACGTCAACCGTCTAATGCTCACGTTGTCGGGAAAGACCATCTTTTAAAGTTACACAAGTTGTCACGCCACAAAAGCGATCTTTCCCAATTTTTTTTTTCGACAAGTGATAGTAAACGAAACAAAACGAACGGGTGGTATTATTCATAGAGACATTTTAGGGGTCCCGTCGAGTCCGCACGCGTCACAAAGACGCATATTTGTGTGGACAGGGTTTGTTACCAAGTCCCAATGACCACTGCGACCTGGAAGATTTATCGTAGTCCAATGCCCGTTTTAACCATCGAACCCTAACTTTGAGGGACCGCTAAATAAATTTAAGCTTGTTGACTTGTTTCGTTTTTACCACCGCTCAAGTGTCACATAAGTCTCGAGCGTGACACTTAGCGTTAGAGCTCAGCACTTCTCGGTGTACGGCTTGGTCGGCTTGAAGTCCGCGTTCCCGCTCAGGTAGGCGTCCACGAAGTTCTGCACGGAGTCGGTGGTGATCTCGTCGCCGTACTTCATCGTGACCATCCTCTGCTTGGGGAAGTCTATTGCGGTGAGCAGCGGCACCGCGTCGTCCAGGCCTATGTGCTCGCGCAGCATGTCCGCGCTGTCGCTGCCGTCTATCCCGATGTAGAACATCACGTGCCTGAAGAACTTCTTCTTCGCCCTGGAGCGGGGCGCGGTGTAGTCGAAGTCCATGGTCTCGTCGTCGGACGAGTTCTGGTAGGGGCAGAAGCCCGGGTACTGGATGCTGCACTCCTCGTAGTACGACTCCGCCGATGGGGTGAGCACCGATTCGGAGAACTCTATCTCCGCGTCCTCGTCGTCTGCGAAAGATTTCTTTTTTAAGTTTATTAGAAAGCTATCAGCATTGATATACAGTATAATAAGCAGCGATGGCCCTTTGGACGTTTCACTTTCGGCTGAGGATTCGAAAGCCAACACGGACCTTGGGAAAGTTCAATTCTATTTATTTAAATAAAGCCAAAGAGATATAGATAACAATTTACTTTTGTATCTCCAAAACGCTGGCGTGACTCTGTTCCGCAAAATATGGAATCTCTTCACCTTGGCTCCTACTTTCTGGAATGTGGCCTTCGATTATACCGACCGCCTACAGCAGTCAAAATATCCTCAAAGCTCAATTTTGAGCACTGAGTCTATAGCCTAAGCAGTTGCGAGTAAGTTAGGCAGCTTAGCAAAGGCGCGACGGTAATTCACGCCGAGACAGCTTCTTACTCTTTACGAAGCTCAAGTTCGGTCGTGTGTGGAGTACTGCTGCCATATCTGGACTGGGCAACGACACTTACCATCAGGTAGGATGGCAGACAAGTAATGATTAGTTTCGCATAAAATAACCCGGGGTTTTTTTAGTTGCTTTTTATGTGAGTCGTCAAACGGCCAAGTGATTCACCTGATGTTCACCGCCACCCATGAACAACTACAACACTCGGGGGCTTGCAGAGGCGTTGGAAACGTTTAAAAAATTGGGCCAACGAAATGCGACACTACAATACTTCCACTTGATCATGCTAGTCTTCGACTGTAGTGCTTCTCCGGACGGGCCTGCACAATAGTGCAACGGAAGGAGCCGCCGCGTGGCCCTACCTCAGCACGAGTTTGCACGAAACTAAATACCAATGAAAAGCACGACGGCCGGGTGACGCGCCATCTTGAGCAGCGACTGTTCAGTCAGCAACGACACCGGACGGTGGGCCCACGGGAAGTTCTGCAATCGAAAAAATTTCTTCTGGACTCTTACTAACTTATAAACACTTTAACGGCAACACAATTCATGATCAAAGTCGCAAAAGACTGTCTATTGCCTTATATTATTTTACACTTAAAATTTTCATTAAAAATAATATATCAAGATTATCGAAAGTGAACTAGAAACTATTTTCCTATATATCACGTCCTCGAATGACAGCTTCGAGTAATCTCTTAAAGGATTAAGACACTTGACAGAAGAAGATGACATAAGTGCAATGTAATATATTACCGAGTAGTGTTCTGAGAAATCGTTTTAAAATTTGCAATATCATCGTTGCCGCATTAATTTAAGGAGGAATTTATGGAATTAGTTGTCGCCAGGGGTATTTTTAGCTCACAACAGGCAATAACCTATTCTAACATAGATACAGATGCGAAAAATTTTTACAACATCTCAAACTTGACGAATACATAGACATCGATGATCACTCACTGTCAATTGAGCCGCATGGTTTATAAAGTCTTCTATTAAGAAAAACACGAATACCCAGACGTCGGTGACCATCTGTCGAGCCGCTCGTAATATCCCGTCTTTTATTAAGAAAAACAAAAAGCTATACGAGAAAAGTGCTCACCAGTCCTATAGGGTCGGCCGCCAAGTGCTGACGGCCGTTGGCGGTGAGCACCTTTCCGCTGGGGTCGGTGAGCACTAGAGCCGGTATGCCGGCGACGCCGAGCGCCGTCGGCAGCGCCAGGCGCGCTTCTGCCGCCGCCCAGGGCACGGCGAGGGCGCCCGCAGCGCTCACCGACGACACCGTGCGCTGGTACGACTGCTCGCTCCTGAAACGGCGGCGAAAGATAAAATAAAGTACATCCTATATATTTCCCACGGGCAAACGTCTCCGCTGTACAGAGGGTATCGGGGCATAGTCCACCATGCGACCCCATTGCGGACTGACGGACACCTATCTTCGAAATATCGTCAACGTGTTGAATAAATAAATCTTAGAATAATTAATGGAAATCTATTTAGTAGTTACCGCAGGTACCGCTGGTATGATCGCACGGTGTCTTGGTGTGTCGATGAGGCTCGCTTCTGGAACAGCGCCGAAAGATAAGGCGGCGTTTTTAACCGACTTCAAAAAAGGAGGAGGTTTCTCAATTCGACCGTACATATTTTTATTTTTATGTGTGTTCGCGGATAACTTCGACATTTACGAACCTATTTTGATGATTCTTTTTTTGTCGTACAGGAGAAGGGTCCCAAGGGTCCAATCTTATGATGGCATCCCAGAGAAATCGAGGGCCGTCAGTGAATGTTATAGGTATTACCGAGTCTTTAATTTTATGATTTAAGTCGGTTTTTTTTTGTTAAAAATTATATAACGGCCAACACACCGGCGTTATCATCACAACCATACAGTTCGTAGGACCCATAACCGATGGGGAAGAAAGGTTCTCGAGTGGCGGCCATCGCGGTGCAGGATCATCCCCCACTGAATGGAGTGGCGACCTGTGCAAATGTGCGGGAGGTCGATAGGTGCAGGCGGCTCGGGATCGTGCTTCCTGGCAGTCTGTGAGGCACGCCTTTGTTCAGTAGTGGACTCGAACATGCCGACATGATTATGATGACAACCGGTGCTTGACTCTTAAGAGAAGTCTGCGCTTAAGATGAAGATCCCATATTATTTACCATCTAACCTGATGTTAAGCAGTGATGTAGTGGTAAACGAATTAACTCGGTAAACGCTAAATCATTCTTGGCAATGAAGAGATCGTTTTCTCGTCAGCTGAGTTGCGAGACCGCAACGATGACTATGCGATCACGAATGTAATATGTTTTTCGGAATCCTCGCGTGCATATTACCAGGCTTTGTATGCGATTAACTAAGCGAGGCAGGCCTCTGGCTTTGGGATAGTGTTATTAGCATTACCGATCTCTAGCGCTGTAAGGCTACTCCAACTTAATAGTGACGCGTTCGTTAGGTTTTATTGCTTAGATCAAAATGTCATATCTGTCCATTGTGTACACAAACCCCTGCACTTATGGGCTTAACGTGGGGCTATAAGCTGATACGATGGCAGGCTTTACGACCCAACTTTGCTTAATGTCTCTTACTCAGTAGGTTTTACGCGCTATTGCATTTGAGCAAAGTTATTTTATCAGTATTACAGAAGCGCCTAATAACTAGATTGTTCGATTGCGATGACACCTACTACTTAAAATAATTAATGAATACATAAAAATAAAAAATAAAAAAATTTAACAAACGGTTTATTTAGTAGTTTAAGTCAGAACGCGAACCCCATAGATTTTATTCAGTTCACTTGTTAAAAGTGTAAAAGGAATTAAATAATTTTGCTTTAGTGAATGTGTCCGTGGCCGCCTAGACATCGAAATTGAAGATAAAAAAAAAATCAGAAACATTTTTGTCTCGACTGTTTGTTTTTGTCGATCATTTTATTTAGATTATCTGCTATGATATGTTTGTACAAATGACGGAAAAGTAAAGTACCGATTTCCATTTTCCGAGTTATTTATGCAAGATTATTGTCATTTTATCACTGCGATAGAGACATCCGTGATATCCGTCGGATTAGAGTTGAAAGGTTGGCAAGGTGCCTCTGTTCCCTCACGAGACCAAATGAACAGACAGAAGTGTACTCCGATGTTTTTCTCGAACTAGCATGCGAATGTATGCAACAATATAACCAAACTATTCTACCGCAGACTTCATAATAACATAACTAAAGAGTAAATTTGTTTGTCTGTTTATTTTCCATAGAGGCAGCAATCGCCCTTTTAAAAAGTAACCGTTAAGGTTTAAACACAGAATATTTTGAACCTCGTAAATGTTGTGTTTACGAGGTTCAAAATATTCGAGTATATTATTTTTACTAAATAATATACTCGCTGCCGAAGTAGCGGAGTAAATGTACTTAATTTGTTTAATTTTAATTAAGCTCACCAAGCTCATGCTCTGTAAAACGCTCGCTTGCACTGGTCTTTTTGTTAATTCAACTTGAAAAATAATCTCGTCATCTGCCTTGTTCTATTAAATGTTCGCAGGAAGTTTAAGCGCTTAGTGGTCGTGCCTCTTTGGAACTTCATATTAAATTGTACGGTGTGTTCTTGAAATGAAAGACATTCTTCAAACAAATATTTGAGTTTATATCATCTATTTGATGTCCTCTATTCAATTAAAATTTCCAATTTGATTTAAATCTCTTTTTATTCAAATGAAAACAACTGCGCGATACTTCATTGATTAAATAAATAATAAAAAAAAAGTGACAATTAATTGTTTCCTCAAAAATAGATAAAGCATAATCTTCATCATCAGCCTGCCCTCGTCCCACCTGGGTGGGGTTGGCAAAACATGTGAATCGTGTTGTAAGCGGTTTTAGTTATGTTTTTAACAACCGGCCGCCTGCCTGACGTCAACCCTCCTTTGGGAAACAGACACCCAGATCCGGGACAATTATTTGTGGTCGGTAAAAATACTTCTCTTGTAATCACCAACTAACAGTAAAATCACTTTTTTTATGGAAACAAGAGGCAAACACTTGTATTTTTGTCATTATTTCTCTGAAAAAAAGCTATCTGATGAAACTAATATCCCCATAAAATTTTTGTTCCACATTGTATTAAGCAAAAGGTTCTCTAGGTAAGATATGTGAGCAAAGGGAGGGAGATGTGAATTATAAATACACTAACTACATTTGTCCGAAATGTTTTTTTCTAACTTAGTAGGATTGTTGTTAGGTTGATAATTTCGAAAGCCAAAAATAAATCAATGGGAATCTTCATTATATCACTTACGAACAAAAATTGTACATTCGCAAAGTCAACAAGCGTATTATAGTTGACGTAAAATACAAAATCATTCATAATGTCTTCATAATAATAAGGAGTTTCTCCATCTGCATAAAAAAACTGGCACATTTTTTATAAACACAAAAAGTTAAGGCAACATTTTTTAAATTGGCAGCCGTAGGCCGAATAAACGTCAGGCGGCCGTGTAGTTTCCCGCCATCGTTTTACAGAGGCCCATTAACTGCGGCTCATAAAAGCGAAGTGGCGTTCGGAAAAGCAGGGGTTTTACGTTGCCGGGACGGAATTTACGACGTCGAATGCAAATTTACGTGAGGAGCCGTAACGGGGCCGACTGTCTACGGAGCACAGTGCTAATTGCACGCACCATTTACAGTTTCATAATTAAGTCCAATTGGCACTCGGTAAAAAGGCAAAATAGCCGAGTAATAAATCCCAGTGCCGGAAACGATGAGTTTATGTGCTGACTTATCACATGCTCATCGGTGAAAACACTGTGAGTTAACCTACATATTATAGAAATAGTAACAGATACATATTTCGAAGGTGTATATATTATTTTAACCGAATTCACAAGTCGGTTAAAAATAGGAAGAGAGGTTAAGTCACAACGCGAAAGTATTACTCTCTGTACAGAGGCGGCCTGTGTCGAAACACAGATAATATATTCCTAGAGATATATACAAATGAAATAAATATTTAGTTTTATTTTTTACTCATTCAAATCTGTGAGAAAATTGGTTAGTTAATATCTCTTTTTTTCCTTTCTTTCTTTTGCAAATCTCTACATTATTAATTATTCTAATAATATTTTCAAAGGCATATTTTCACTTTTTCTTTCCGTAGAAGTGGACAAAGGACTTGCAAAACACCAGAGGTAAGTTTAAAATAAATCTATAAAAAAGCATATCAACAGAAAACATAGTTCAAATAAACATACGAAAGGCCTACCCTTGTCTACATTTGTTCAAAAAGAGAAGAGCACTCTTGTTTCGGTACAAAACGGTAAGTTTTTTTTTTTACTTCTTTCTGTGCCATTGTCTAGTGACACTTGCCCGTGAAAGGCAGAAAAAAACAGTTTCCGTAAGTTGTCTATGCCATTGTTTCCCGTTTTTATTGTGTATTCTCCAACAATCCGACTTCAAAACTTCCGGTAACGTTTTCCGTTTCCGATCTTTTGCCAAGTTAAACGGCAATGTATTCTGTCTCACTAGTCGAAGTTGAGTAAATTAAACAATAAGACTTTTTAAGTTTGTTCTTTATAGTCATACAAAGTTACTTTTAGAGAGGAAGTAGATCGAATTCAATGAAGTGCACTTGTCGTTTTCCTTACTTAGACTATGAGCATCGAGCTACTATTTGTTTTCTCTATAAAAAGTCTTTAACCATTGTATCTTCGACAAAGTAAATTTAACGTTTTTAGAGTTCCGTACCCAAAGGGTAAACCGGAGCCCTATTACCAAGACTCCGCTATCTGTCTGTCTGTATATCTTTAACCAGTCTGAAATTTATATATAACAACAAATACTAAAAAAAACATAAAAATACTAAAATAAAATGGGACATGATTTAAACAGACATGATTTTTTTTGCCGTTTTTATAGATTATGGTACGGAGCCCTACGTGCGCGAGTCCCACTCGCGCTTGGCCGGTTTTTTAATTTCTACTGCTAGTCTCTGCAAACTTAAAAAACGTGTGGTTTAATCTTGTACGTAAATTCCTATTTATGCATTATATCAATATTGTAATGTATCATGGACCACACCTTTTTATACGAACATAGCGAAGCATCATCATGTGTAAGCGTCGCTGAACTTAGCATGCTTAAATTCTAAGAATTGTGTTGGCGCCGCTGATCTAGGCACTGTTTGTCCTAAGACTTGTTTTGGCTTGTAACGTAAACATTTAAATAATTCGCTGTTGAGTCAGGTATGTAGGTTAGTATTTATTTTCATAAACCACCGAGCAGCACTCGAAACTGAAGTAAATTTACTTTTTTCGTCT